ATATGTCCTGGTTTTGGCTGCTTCCATCCTTGTGACAAGCACTGCAGCTACACAAACTCCAGTGACAAGCATTGTGGCTACTTTAATCCCCGAGACAAGCATTGTGGCTACTTTAATCCCCGAGACAAGCATTGTGGCTACTCAGATCCCAGCAACAAGCACTACAACCACTCAGACCCTGGTGAGGGGTGATGCTACTGAACTAGAGGACTAACCCATGTTGGTATCAGTCACCCCTATGCATGAGAAGTGGACACAAAAGACATCTCACTTAGTGAAGGAGGAAGAAGCAAGTTCATTGCTAGAACAGGAGGAGAAGGCAGAACAAGAGGTAACCTCTCAGTCCATATCCCTGAGTGAGCTGCAAGATATGCAAAACAGTATCAGCCATCATCCAGGTGAGGACATTATCACCTGGCTGCTCTATGCTGTGAGAATGGGGCTAGTAGTTTGGAATTAGAGGATAGGGAAGCCAAGCAGCTAGGATCACTTGCTAGGGAAGGGGGCACTGACAAGGTGATTGGAAGAGGGATAGAAGTCCTCAGCCTCTGGAGGTGACTCCTTTCAAGCATGAAGGAAAGGTATCTTTTCAAGGAAGGTGTTATATGTCACCCAGGCAAGTGGACTGCAGTAAAGTATTCAGGATCTGCCAATTGGGCTGGCCCTGCCCAGTTAAAAGTTTTATGTACTGCAGAAGAGGAAAAAGATCCTGTAGTACACATAAACGATATGCTAGGAAAAACAGTCTAGGTTGTTCCTGCCTCAGATAAATGCAAACTCCTTTGTGGGATTGTTTCTGTTCAAGGACCTGGATACACTTGGTGGGTAATGCAGGAGGATGGGGAAATCTGATGTGTGCCTCAAGGGGATTTTATTTTTGGTGACAACAGCCAATGAATTAAACTGTATGATGTTAATAGCTATGTAACACTGTGTATTATCGCTTCTATAGCAAGTATACACCCATCACCTCACTAGGTGCCTCACGGTGCCTGTCTCTACTGCTCCAGATTTGAGGATCTGAACCAGACTCTCTTTTGATCACCACATTAATGAGGAATGAACTTTGATGAAACCAAGCAGGCACAGTGCTGATGGAATCACAATTGGCTTCAGCATGCAACAGTCCAACACCACACACCATTTCTTCTGCCCTGAAAAATTGTTATGACAGATGGAGCCCAAAGTCATGGACTGAGTGAGCTCGATGGACTTTTATAGGGGTGGTCCATAGACTAAGGGAATGACTTCTGTGTATAAGTATCAAAAGACAGGAAAGGTGATGGTGTATTGGAAAGTGTGTGACCTGGCATGATGTAGAGGGTATGGAATAAGGAGTGGCTACTGTCCTGGCTTTGGCTGGGATAGAGTTAATTTTTTTCTTAGTAGTTGGTACAGGGCTGTGTTTGTATTTAGTATAAGAATAACACACCAACGTTGTAGTTGTTGCTAAGCAGTGCTTACTCTTAATCAAAGACTCTTACATTCCCCATGCTCTGCCAGTGAGGAGGGGCACAAGAATCCAGGAGGCAGCACAGCCAGGACAGATTACCCAAACTAGCCAAAGGGATATTCCATACCGTAGCATGTCATGTCCAGTATATAAACTGGTGAGAGTTGGCCAGGAACCACCAATCTCTGCTCAGGGATGGAATGGGCATTGGTCAGTGGGTGGTGAGCAATTGTATTACACATCACTTGCATTTCTTGAATTTTATTCTTTTTCCCTTTATTGCTATATTTTATTTTGTTTCAATTATTAAACTGTTCTTGTCTCTGATAGGATAAAAACCTGTGGGTTTTAATTTTTTCTGATTCTCCTCCCCATCCCACCAGGAGGGGAGGAGTGATCGGGCACCTGTGTGGTACTTAGTTGATGGCTGGGTTAAGCCATGTCAAGGTGTTAAGAGAAACCTTCTAATGGGGATAAAGACAATACATTAGAATATATTTTACACATGAATGCAATGGTTTGAAAGATGCGATGAGAAATTAATCTTTAATTGAAAATGACTAAAGGAATTTTGATGAACAAAGAAATGTATGTATTAAAATAAATCTTTTTACTAATAGAGAATAGCAGTATAAAAGTGCCTGTTTAATAGCACTAATAACTTAATAACATGTTTCCTTTGAGTCATATGGTAGGCTCTTTCAACCAGCCAACACTTAATTAAAAAAAAAATATATATTTCCTTGGCTTCTCATCACAATCATGTTTCTAGGTTTGTATGGGTGTCTGCTACCTCTGCTTATGTGTTTTGCCTATGTTTCTCTGTTTTTCTCTTTCCACAATACCCAGGAGATATGGTACCCATTTCAATCTCCCTGCCTTGGTATGACTCTACTGGGGACGCTGCTCCTAAGTTTGCAAGGCTAAAAGCACTTACAAGCAAAAGTAAGCCTGAGGAAATACTTCAGCATGATCCAGATGGAAACTGGAAGGGTTCTTCACCAATGTGTTATTAGATGACTCAAATGTTGGCAATTTCAATGTCATCAAAGGAGGCTTTTCTGGTTTTAAGATGAAACAAAACACCCTGCTCAAAAGGGGAGGTATAGGCAACAATAAAGACTATGTAGGTGGAAATCTGAAGCTAATATCAATGGGTAGATCAACACTTTGCAAACAGGGGTAATGAATTAGGAAAACTCAGTGAAAATATATGGGCCCAAGCAACAATTTAGGTTGAATGTTAGACAAAACCAATAACAATTCAGTGAAAAAAACCCCAACCTGAAATTATTAGTGATTTTTTTTCTGTTCTTCATTTTTCAAATGGACAGACCAATGTCCCCATATTTAATTTTTGTCTAGCGTGTATGACCACAGTGAATGAAACCCACCAGTTAATACACATCTATCTTTAAAACTTGTACACAAAATTATTTTTAAAATTGCCTCAGATCACCAAACCCTTAGTACTCATTTCTTAGCAAATACTGCATCACTGAATTTCCAGAGAATCAGAGGAAGTAACTGCTAAATCATTATATAAAAACCAGTAACTGATGTAGCCCAGGTAAATAGGAACTGAATTCTGGCTTAGGCTGATGCCAGCCTTGGGCAAAAGTGGTAAGCGGGTTGATGAAATGTGCAGTCAACACAAACTGTGACAGTTTAAGGCTTAACACATTAATAGCAAATAGATGGTTTTAATTATATTTTTATTTTTGAGAGAGAGGAAGGTCTCCATTCTGGTTTGAGTCAGTATTATGCCTAACCTGTGGATGGATGCCAAAAGGGGCAGTTTTGTTTCTCCTTTTCCTCTCATTCCCATAAATAGTGGTCACACGCGTGTCCTGTGAATCAGTTCAACTCACTGGGCCAACAGAAAACTGTGCCTTTTCTTTTCTTTTTATTCCTGGCAGTTTCCTGCTGGATCCCCATGCTGGGCTGAGTCACCCGGAGCTATGGAGTCACAGGAGTTTCTGCAGGAAGCTGAGAGCAAGGCTGCTATGCTACACAGATATAGTCCCTGTTCAGTTGCTGCTAGGGTTGCATGCAATGAGATGTAATGGTCAAAGGCTCCCTTAGTCTGCAGTAGTGGAGAACTATTGGGGAAAAAAATAGTACTATGTGAAAATAAATATTGACCCTATTGTGGTTTACAGATCCCCTAAATGGTTTACAGTGCTCTTCAAACTCTTAACTAATGCATCTGGAAACTTAAACTGTGTCTTGCTTCCAGCTGTATGGTACTTAGTTGCCAGCTGGTTTTAAACCACTATACCTGTCATCCACCTCAAGGTATGTTTTGTGAAGTCATGCACTTCTTGCCTCTACAATACTGATTATAGGTTACCTGAAAGTAGTAAAAATAATTTGTGATCTCATGCCTAGAGAGATGCCCAAGTTGGTGGGACAGTAACAGAGAGGCTATCCAGCATGCTGCTCCAAAGGGATTTTTTGGCTGGGCATTTCCGAGCATGTTCTATATGGTTTCTGAGAGGCACCGAGAGCTGTGCACACCCAAGTCCCAGCCGAGCATGCCATGGAGAGCAGTGACATGGGAGAGGAGGCAAATAACAGGCAGCTGAGCACTGGGCACGTTCCTTGGACGCCACACTGCATTTCCAGATAAGCATATCGTTACCAGATGGCAAAGGCGGTTGACAGAAGCAGAGATGGGTTATTAAAAACGGGTGTATATTGGACAGCAGAGCTGTGGAAGTCCTGTTGGGCTGAGAGGAAGAGGAGCTGAGTGACCAGCTGGCTTTGTTAAACTGGGGGAGCTGGGCTGTGTCCCACCCCTGGCATGGCGTTGGCGGATGGTGCCTCCGCTGTGATGCTCCACAGAGAACACTCCTCTCTCACAGGAAGGTTTCCCTGATCTGATCCCCACCCTCTCCCCACTGTATAACACACACGGTGGTCATAGACGTAGTACCTTGCTCCTCTGGGCCCTGTGGTTGACTGTCAAGCTCGCCATGGTGGGAATGCCCATGGTGGACTGGGTCAGTTCCTCCAGCAGAGGCTTCGAAGGTCTTGCCCGATCACCCCTGCAGTGCTGCTCACCGCAGCACGGCAGCTGAGGTCTGGGGGTAACTCAGGTGTAGGCCCCTGACTCCATGGGGGTGTCTGCCCTGTGGCTTTTAGGGGCGACGTCCAGCCCCGCACTGCCTGCAGGCCACCCCACAGCCGGCACACGGGGAACCTTTGCTCCCACGCTGAAGCGCAACCCAGAGCCCGCTGCCATTCCCGGCTGAGACCCCCGGCGCTGTCGCACCGGCCGGCTCCCCGGGGAGCCCCAGGCCTGTCCCCCTGGGACCCAGTTCCCTGTCGCCAGGCGCCGCTGCCCTACAGACCCCCTGTCCCGTCCCGTCCCGTAACGGGGCACACACACCGGCTCGCCTCTGCCCCCTCCCCACCCTAGGCCCCGCCCACCCCCGGTGTCGCGCGGCACCCTGCTCTTCCGGCGCGTGACAATCGGGGTGGGGGTGAGGGGAGTGGGGAGCGTGCCGCGGTGACGTCACTTCCGCGCCCCTCCCAGCCCCCGCCCAGCGCGGCCGGCGCGTGGAGCCGGTTGGCGGTGGATCCGGTCGCGCCTCACGAGGCAGCCGCGGGCGCGCCGCTGGGCGGGCGGGGTGGGGCGGGGGAGAGCCGGTCCCGCTCCGGTCCCGGTCCCGCGCCCGCCCCGCCGGCATGGGGCTCAGCTGAGGGCGCCGCCGGTGAGTGGGGCCGCGGGGCGGCGGGCCCGGCCCGGCAGGTGAGGGAGGGTCCGCGGGCCGCGCCGGGCCGGGCCGGGCCTCCAGCGACGCCGGCAGCTCCTGCCGCCTCGGGCTCGACGCGGCCACTCGCCCGCCCGCAGCGCCCTTCAGCCGCGCCGGCCTCTCCCCTGTGCGCAGTGGCCCCCGCGGGGCGGCCCGGCTCGGGCGCAGAGGTCGCGTCGGGGCTGCTGCCGCGATCAGCTTGGAGCGGGTCCAGAGCCCGGTGCAGCCGCCGCCGCTCGGGAGCGAGCGGGCGCGTGGCTGCGAGCGTATGGCGGCTACCCGGCCGCTGGTGTCCGGACACGTGCGGCGCTTCCCGCAGCCCGGTGGTTCCCCCTCCCCTCCCGCCACTCGGCTTCCCGCCAGCAGCTCCGGTGTGCCCCGGGCTCACGGCGGCACCGTCAGCACTTGGGCAACAGAGCGATCGCGCTTCTTCCGTCCGCTCTGCGCTGCTCCCAGTCCCGCCTGCGGGCTCTGGTTGCTACGCAGCCGCTCCTAGAGCGTTCGCTGCTCAGGATTGCGTTCGGGCGTTTTGTAGTGGTGGGGTCGGTGGGAAGCGTTCGTGATCGTGTACCAGAGAGAAACTTTCCCAGTAGAGTACAAGATGAGGGCTCAGTGCGACTCACCCGTTTTCCAGCAGATGAGTTGGTGCGCTATGCTGCTGTTGGCAGAGGTTATAGAGGGGTTTCTGTCAGCTGTGGAGATGGTGATCTCACACTGAATGGACCTCTGGCAGCCCCTGCATCATCCCAGAGGGGAGGCCTGTTTATGCTTTTTCAGGGATAAACAGCTACTAAGTGATTTAAACACTGAGAATTGGAACAGAATTGACAATTTTAAAACTGCACTGGTACTGACAATGAATAACTTGACTGTCTGCAATACAGGCTTTAAAGCTTGTTGCTACCACAGGTGCTCTGGCTTACCTCCTTCCCTGGAGCTGCATATCTCTGTAAGTGCTGTGGTTGGATGATGCTTTTTTGGAGCCCTTCAAGAAGCTGTTGTCTCCCTCAGCTAAGATAGCATAGCCTCCAGTAGCGGGAGGTGGTTAACTCTAAACTGTTCTTACGTGAGTGCTCATGGTTGTCAGGCCATGCTGACTGCTTCTACTTCATCTGAGCTTGCTCACAATTTTGTTCCAGTTTTATAATTCATTAACATGTTCCCTTTGCTGTGCACATTCACTAGAACTGTATGGTATTTTCTCAGCCAGGGCTAAGTTTCAGTTAGTCTATTCATGCCTCTAACTATATTTTTTTTTTTATTGTAGGTGACTCAGACATTGTATGTATGAGATTTGTCCACACACTGGCTCTTCAGACAGGTTAGCTGTATTATTCTGCCATCATTTCCATCATATCTGAAAGAGTCGCTATTACCTTTCATTAAGGAAAAGCTGACTTGTATACAACACTGTTATCTTCTGTAGAATACTGATTTTTTTGAACCTGCGGAGAAACATCTTTTGGGGGGGGCATTATTTAGACATATTCTATACTATAAGTCATGCCCTCATAAACTTAGTATCCAAGTAGCAGTTTAGGTATCAGCAGATCTTGACTACACTTATACCAAGGAAGCATTTGTGTTGTGCGTAGCATGACAGTAGGGGTTACGTACTGCTGGGTTTGTAGCTGCTTTTTCTCATTGGCTAATTACAAAAACAATTTTACAAAGTTTAAAGAAGATGTACTGTGAAAACTTTGAACTGTAGAATTGACTAGGAAATTTACTGGGACTGACTTAACTCTTCTGACTTCTGAGAAGCTTAATGTTAAGATGGTTTGGTGAAATAAAAATATGAATTGTTGTAGTCACCTGTGAGGAAGAACACTGGCTTCTGGCAGCATGAAGTGTTCCAGTGTGAGTGCCTAGGTCAGCTAGAAAAAACTGTTGTGCTCCAAAGCTGGCTTTTAAAGGGCTTCAGAAAATGGGCAAGAGGGACCTTGTTAACTTTGGATGTGGCTGAAGCTGTCTGTCCCTGCCACAAGGAGGAGAAAGCAGTGAAAGGGATCTGAGCAGTTCTGCAGACGCTGTCTCTGGCAGAGGTGCTGGACAGCAGCTTCTGCCTTCCCGAATACCTCCCTGGAGCAGTGGTGCTGGTTTTCGTGTCTTCCAATAGTGCTCTCTAGACTTGGAGCTCAGCATGCTCTCACCGTTTAATTTTTTTGTTACTTGTCTTCTAGAATGCAGTGTCTCCTTGGTATTCTTGTGTATCTTTTTCATTCATCCCCTTCTCCTCTAGGGAGGACTTGATGATTCGGGCAGGCATTGATTCATCTCTGATCTGAAGAGAGAGGGGGATGAAAGGTTCTAGCTGCCTGGTGAGGCAACTTTCAGTGTTGGCAAGGGAGCATGGAGGCTGCATAGCAGGGAGGGAAGTTGTATCATGATGGCTGAGTAAGACTGAATTACAAAGTTTCTCAGTCATCCTCTGGTAGTGTGCCATGTGAGAGGCCCAGTGCATCCGACAAGCTCTTTTGCTGGGGTCCCAATAAATTATTTTTAAAAATAAATTAAAAAGTCTCAGATTGAATTTGCTCTTTTGCTTCAAAGAGGTAGTTCCGTACTGTCTTCTGTGTGGAGTATAAAACAGTCAGCAAGACACAAATTTTCAGTGGTATGGAGACAAATTCCATTTATTCTGTGGGAGTAAAATACATTTTCATTGTTAAAGCCAGGTCCGAGTAGGTTGCCCAGGTCATGGAGGAAATCTGTATTAGAACCAGAAGCTGACATAGAAAGGCCAGTTTTTTGTTAAGCATCTTAACTATTGCACTCTTGTTCTTTTTTCTGGAAACCTTCAGGTACTGTTTGCATTATTTCTGTAAAGTACCAACAGTGGATTACTTTGACTTAGTTTCTCCAAGGTCTGTTGTAGGAATTACTGCTTCTGGCATGAAAAATGTCTGAGTTGAGTGGTACACTTAAGCATCTTTTAGCAGCAGGCCAGGGAGAACTGTTCTAACACTTTCCTTATTCAGTGTCTGTCTGGTATGAACCTGATGGTAGCTGGCATGGAGCAAAGTGGTTTCATTCCTTAAATACTTTGTGAAGCAAAGTCATTTTGTCTAATTTCCTAAACTTGGAGTTTTGGGAGAATTAACTAAAGGGCTTCCTTAAATTTAATTTTCTTAATGCTCAAACAGTATCAGTGTGGTGAAGAAATGTACCTGCAGTCTATGGTTAGACTCACTTTTTGAACAACTTAAACACTTGCACTGGAAAATGGAGTGTGTATTTAAAATGTATGCTTTTTTGGGTAGGGATTACCAGTCTCTGCAGCATGTCATCTAGTATGACCAAGCTTGCTTTGGGTCTGTAGGCACAGTATTTTGCAAATTAGTAGGTTTTGTGTTTTCAGTAGCGAAAAAAAACCAGCATTCTGAGTAATGCTTGGATCTGGTTATGAGGATGTTTGTACAAACTCAATCCGAATTCAGAGTTCCAGTGATCCTAATTTCCCAATTAGACATTTAAAAAAATATTTTAAAATAACAGTAATGCCAAAGTGTTTCCCTTTCACTGTTAGGCAATGAGCTGAAAATAGTTTTCATTCATAAAAAAAGCTATTTCCTTTGTTAAATAATCTGCTTAGCTGAGAGCAAAACTTTAGTTTGTAGTAAACTGCAGTTGTATTATATCCTCAAGTCTGACACCTTTATTTCTGATGGAAAAAAGATTAACCTTTGGTAGCTGAAAGGCAGATTTAAATAAAAGAAGGATGGGTGATTCACAGTTACTTTTCAGGAGTTTTGGATTTGATCCACACAAAAATTTGATGTGCTGTATCTTGCTACTCCTTTTCTAAAGTGTGTAACTTCAGCACCATCTGAATGGAGTGCTGTGCTTGGGTTGGGAAGGGGTCTTCACCACCATGGGGTCTAGCCACTTGCTCTGAAGTGGTGCGTTGTTTATCGTGTTCAGAATCCTATCAGTCTTACCAGAATTAGTGGCATTTTGCATTCAGTCTGTATTTTTATTCTTTCATTGTGTATTTTTCATTTGAAAGAACTTAGCCCCTTTTTTCATGCTTCCGGTTTATTAGAATTGTGGCTTTACATTGTTCATCTTAAACCAGCTCCTTGAAAGAGGACCAATTACTGGAAATGGTAGCATGTCCATTTCTACTTAGTTTGATTGGTATTTTATGTTGTATTTAAGATCAAAAGACCATCTTTAAAAATCAAAATACTTAACTTTCCTTTTTGACCTTTGTCAAAGTTATGTGATGGTGACATTTTCAGTTTATAAGGTACCTACAGTTAGAAAAGTGGCAACTCTTAGATTTTATTCTAGCTAGAGGATGTCAAAATGAGAGGTGATACATGGCAACAGCTATGATGGAATCAAAGCTTGTGATACTTATAAAGGGTAGGAGACAGAGTGCTTTTAAGAAATAGAGAAAGTGGCAGGATCAGCTTAGATTATGAGCTTTACTTTGGATGCAAGAAAAAATATATGTAGTGCTTGAAATTAAGTCATGTTAGGAAGAGCATGTATTAAAGAACAGTTGAGGCAGATACTGGAAAAGCTAAAGTGCACATGGAATTGCAACTAGGAAAAGGCATAAAAGCTAGCAATGTTCCTGTAGAAGTGCAGGAGGAAGATAGCAGGAAGATAGCAAGAGGAAGATTGGGAAATGTCTCTCTAGATTTAGTGGAGAACATATATATCTACAGAAAGTGCAGAACATTTAAAGTCCTTGGTGCTTCTTTTGCTTGTTTTCTCTAACAGGTGTCATGCAGGTGCTTAATCTTATAAATACTTGTGTTAAGTGGTATTTTGCACTGGAGTGTATTTCCACTAGATGTTCCTGCATCAGCTGGCCCTGATAAGCTTCACTGTACAGTTCTCAGAAGAGCTCAAAACATGCAAAAATATTACCTAAAAATACTCAGAAGTACTAGAAGACTGATAAAGGGTGTCTTCAGAGAATTGTGGGAGAGAGCTGAGTTTCAACTCAGCTGACAGTTCACTTTATTTCAGTTTTTTCTGTCAGTTGAGAGTAATAAGCAAACTTTAAGTTTTCAAGTGCTTGGAAGATAACTACAAAAAGAACAACATCATGAACAGATTTGTGGGAAAACTGCATCCCAAATCTAATACCTTTTTACTGCAGAGCAGAAAGTTTTGTGGCTATGGCAGAAGCAGTGGAAATCTTGTCTCCTGATTGATTGATTGAATAAGTTTTCCACATTTTAATAGCCTCATAAGTGAATGGAGACATGATCTGGGGAAAGCAGTCTAGGAAACTTGCAAAATTGGGTAGATGGCTCTATTTAGAGAACAGTAGTTAATGATTCAGTGATGAAATGAGAGGTTATGTTAAGAGCTCTGTCCTGGGTCGGGTTGCCTTTAGTGAAAGCATGAGACAACTGGCTGATTAAAAGTGCTTATTAAATTCTCGGGGACAATGTGTTGTAGGACATGATGAGAGTTCAAAATGACCTGAAAAATAGGATGACATGCAATAGGGAGGAATGCAGAGTACTGCACTTAGGCAGGCATTATCAGCTGTGCAAATGCAGGGTGAAGAATAGCTGGTTAGGTACTAGAAAAAGGACCTGGGGGTGTACTGGATCACAAGTTGAACATGAGTCAGTGTCATGCTGTTTGCAGAAAAGGCAAATATCTTACTGGGATGTTTAAATGGGAATATTATCTGAGAGATGTAAAGTTTAAATCTGTCGTCTTTATTTGCTGTTGGTATACTCTCAAAAGACAGCATCTCTTTTGGGTGCCAAAATTCAAGAAGAATTGGGACCAGCTGGAAAGAGTTCAGAAGAGAGAAGTGCAAGTGATCGGTTTGAAGAAACAACTTCATAAAGATGGAAGAAAATCTGAGTTATTTTGGCAAGAGATGAGGAGGTTAAGTGGAATGTAAGAGATTTCAAGTATTTGAAAGATTTGTAAGAAGGAAATGCTACTTTCAGTGACCATGATGGGCAGGTTGAAATGAGATTAAGTTTCATCAAGGAAAATGCCAATTAAGCTTTCGACTTTCTCACAGTAAGAATAGTACTTTAAGAAGTCTCTTACTGGTGGCCATGAAGAACAAGTTTGTGTATTGAGAAAGACTGGTATAGTTGGTTTTGGTTGGAGAATAAACTAAAATCTCTATTGATGTCTCTTTCATCTCATCTGATAGGATTCTTGTTTTAGTTTAAGTCAAGTTTGGGCCAAGGAGAGGGAATACACTGGATTCTTTTTGTCCATATCATGCCAGTTCAGACGTTGCACAGGTTGCAATGACTAGACTGTGGTGCTTAAGTGAGTTTGGAAACATATGGTGCCCTGTGTGTTCTACTCTTTTCTCTGGGA